CTCATGGAAGAATTCCATTATCTTTTCATTTTCCCACAATTTTTGAAGCCCGCCTCATATATTAATAACTCCCAGCTTCCCCTATGCCTAGTGGCCCCAAACCAAACCAAACTCATTGCCTCTGACTTGATCCCAACTCGCACTGATGACACTGGGCAGAGAAGAACTTCTCCATAACGTTTCCAGGGCTGCAAGTCTTTACAGAAGCAGACTGTCTGTCTTATCGTTCTCCTACAAAGTGGCTGGTGAGTTCAAACCGACGTTTAGGTTAGCAGCCCAGCTCTTTAACGACTGTACCAGCAGGGCTCCTAATGGCTAAGACAACTCATTCACTGCCACCAAGTGGATTCCAACTCACAGTCACCCTATAGGACTGAATAGAACTGCTCATGGGATTTCCAAGATTGTACATCTTTACAGGAGCAGACAGACTCACCTTTCTCCCGAGGAATGGCTGGTGGGTTCAAACTGCCAACCCTGCAATTAGAACTTGTGGCTACCAGTTCAACGTTTAACTCACTGGGCCACCAGAGTTTCCTGAGCTAAGGTAAAGAACTTCTTATATGCAAGTTTATATTTAAATATGTATGAATAATATATAAGAAAATATATCCAATGAGGAAACCACCTACAGTTCTAGCACGAAATAACAAGTAGTTCCAGCTTTTCTCCTATACATGGATGTGTAACTACCATGCATCCATCCATCCATTCATTCTGTGTGGAGGCAGCACCGAGGTGCAAAGAAACACAACATAAACACTAGACTGGTGTCCCAGCTCCACCTACCACACTGGCTGTGTGGGTCTTGACAAATCATTTAGTGTCACTAGGTCACAGTTTCTCCTTCTGCAATACAACAATAATAATAGTGCCTATGGTCACAATGATTAAATGATTAAATTAATGAGAGCGGTTAGGGAAGAATAAGCCCTCAAGCATTCATCAAAATAATGATGATAATTAAAATAATTGCAATTACATTCACTGATCTACAGCTATGTGCCAGGCTCTGAACTAAGCAGTAAATAATTTTAGCCTTTTGGTTTTTGCAAAGGTCTTTAGCAGGGCATTGGATTTCATATGGCAACATCTCAGTATAACCTCCGTCTCTATTCTGGGATGGTCAGCGGGCCCAAGAACCCGGAGTCATTTACAGCATGGGACCACCCCCTTTCGCACACACCCAAGCCATGCTTAAACAATTACGAGCATCATGTTGCACCAGGTACCCTTGACCATAGGAGGCCAACCCAGCACGGTGCTCATCTTGCAGGGACGTCTTTTGTGTGGGTTTTGAGTTACAGCTGGGCAATGCAAAGCCACAGAGTGAGTCGCAAAACTAGTTTTCATAAGCTCGCCCTGACACAAACTGGGCAGGGGCTCACACTCACATCCCCACAGTAAGATTAAACAGCATGCTTCATCAGGCACTAAATACTAACACAGCTCCGACGTCAGGGGGACACTGATTAAAACTGATGTCAATAATTTATGAAACACAATATGGTCTTCAGATGCTCTTTTAGAAAAAAATAAAATAAAAAAGGAAGGGGGAAAAAGGGCCTAGCAGCCAGGTGGTTTAAAACTGTTCATGCATTTTCCCTTGAATGTACAGCCTCCCCCCCCCACCACCACCATGCATGGATGATTCTTTACACGATGAATGTCAATGCACATGTGCATAAAGGCATGTGAACACTGCTAATACATATGGGCGGAAGAAAGTATTTAGTTATTCCACTGAGAGCTGTCGAGGCTGTTACATTATACATAGTCTTGTCTTTCATATTGTATTGAGGTTAGTTGGTTGTATGTGTGTGTGTATGCGTGTCTTTCCCCGTTTTTTCTGAAGAAATCCAAAATTGCATTTCAAATAAAATTGAACTTTACAAAAGCACACGTGTAGTCCACAGAGAATTCAACTTTGAAGCTCCACCGAAAATACCACTGGACCAAAGAAAACTTCTAAGGTACGCACACTGTACACGTCTAAATAATCCAAAAGTACCTCAACCCTATGTTGAAGAACCATTCAGTCAAGTAATATCAATGTGTTTTAAAGTTTTAGGTCATTTTGTCTTTGGCGTTTTTGTTGTTGTTTTCAGGGGAGGGAGTGTTAACCTAGGAAAGGATACTATGTCAGTCTATTATAAATCACACCTCATTACTGTTATAAATCACACCTCAAGACAAAAGCAGAATGGCACTGTGATAATGCTTCATTTTTATCAAGACTGATCTTTTGCATGAAGAAAAATACCCTTCTGTACTTTTGCCTTAGTTGTCCATACTGAAGTAGCTTAATTTGATATATTTGGAGAGTGTGAAATTCACAAGATGGGATTATGTTGGGGGGGGAATTCTGAGTTGATGATAGTACAAACGTTAGTGTTTGAAGGATTTATTAATGCTTTTTCCTAGCACAGTGCCCTTTAGTGTCTCGGAACACCTGTTAAATACTAATTCATTCGCATAGCTCCACCACAGGGCCTTTTCATAAAAAAGCTCGACCTTTCATTGTAAATCACTTCCAAATTGTCTTTCCTGGCTTTCCCTTTGCAGAATGATAGGAAAAAAAATCACTAAGACTTCAATTAAGATTTTCTGGGAACTTCAATATGATGTTCCCAGCTATAACTGCAGGTATCAGAACATCTATTCAAAAAGGAAAACTATAAATAACTTGAACATAGTTGAATTAGCTTTGCTTTTATGAAAAGACTGGATAATTGGCAAGACTTAAAGATACTTTAATGACTGAGAATTAAAATCACTTCAGTAAAAACTAGAAAAATATTGTTCACCAAATGTTTGTCATGTAGATTATGGAGTTATTTGACCTAATTAATCTTTTTTAAAACAAAAATGATTACTAATTACATTAGTTAACATGGTGATTGCTCAATTTGATCCCCCCCCCCACAAAAAAAAAAAAACGGTCAATCCAATTTGTGTGCGTAGTTTAGTGCTTTGGTTACAAAGACAAAATCCTAAACTACAGAGACTTCCAGATGAGTGACCACCATTATAACAGCAGCAAGTTACGTCTCCCCAAACACAGTGACACAAGGGGAGATGGGGCTAGGTGGCGAATCTGAATAATACCCACAGCTAAGGCATGAAGCCAATCCAATTTTGCCACACTACATTTATTTGTTTCACTGTATTCACTTGACTTTGTCCAATTAGATCCTGCTGGTGACAAAACAGAGTCATCTTTCATATGCACATACAAACTAAAGCTGATAGGAAAGCCTTGGAACGTTCTTTAAATGTCAATAAAGGATTTCTCCCACACAAAAGAAAGAAAAGAAAAGAGGAAAGGGGGGGAAAAAAAGAGATGGGAAAAACCAACATTTCTGAGGGAACTGAGCAGATCAAAGGGATTTTATTCTCGAAGACCACTAAGTCGGGGCGTAACTACTAGCTTTCTGTGAAATACTGAAAAGTCTCTTCAAACTCAAACCAGTTCTATCCCTTGAAGGAAGTCAAAGAACAATTAGGGCTGCAAACGCGGGACACGTTGAGTGCAAAAATGGAGGCGCGGCAGTGCAACTAGAGGCAAAGCCCCTGCAGACAAGGCCGGCCTGCCTGGGCCTCTGCGCGGGACCGGCGCTCCAAGACATGTTTTCCATTCGCCTGCTCAAAAGTCTGCATCCACAGTCATGAGGTACAAACTATTCGACAACAACACGACACAATTAATCAGATCCAGACCTCAAAATGTGTGTTCGTGGGGACCAGTTAACTCTGCAATGTGCCTCTGAGAGGGATAGGAAAAAACTCTACACGTTCACAAAAGATGCACACCAAATGCTAGAGGAACCAAGTAATGTTCACTAAAACGAACCATTGGTTGTTATCATTATCCTACTTTTGTAAAAAACTAATACACAGTGTGGAATAATAGGGGGGGAAACACACAAATAAACAGAGGTGGAGGGTTGAAAGTTTATATACCCCATACTAAAAAATGTTATAAACCACCTCCCACACACATTGTGTGTGTGTGTGTGTGTGTGTGTGTGTGTGTTTTGCTTTGCTTTTTGCTGGGGAGAAACTGATGCCTAGGAGTTTCTACAGCAACAACGTTCCACAATTCAGAAGTAGAATGTACCTTTTTAAATCTTTTTTAAGCCTCATTTTTGACCCAACACTATTCACCACAGCACAGTTTTGTCAGATTTCTCTTTCAGGGATTGAACCCTCTTTGAAAGGGAGAAGAAGCTGGGCCCTTAGTTAATTCAAAGCTATTTAATTGCATCAAACCCTGAAGCTAATAACAAAATGTGCGATGATTTTTTGGGACCAGGATTGAATTAGTTTTAAATAATTACGGGCCACTCCTTTGTAATCTGTAGATCGTAATTAATTGAAATCACATCATTCTTCTTTTGCTAACACAAGCATGCTGTTAAAAAAAAAAAAAATTTTTTTTTTCAAACCATGAAAGACAAATGCCTCCATAAGTGTACCGGTACCGAACTAGCCCCAAACTGCTAAAGAGTGCTCTACCATGTCTCAAGGGATTTGTGGTTGTGTAGCTGGAACATGCCCTAAAAAACGAGGTCGGGGACCCCTACCGCGCACCCAGCTGCAGTCCAAGGAATGGGGGTGGGGACCGCGGCGGAGATGAGTCCCGGGGTCCCGCCAAACCCAGGGGAAAGCAGTGAGTGTCTGCGTTTGGACCTGGAGCTCAGGAGACCTGTAGGTACATTTTCTGCAAAATCCCCCCACCCGGCAGCATTTCTTCTGCTTCTTAACTTCGGAGGGTGCGAGACGAAAATCCGGGCATCTATATAAAGCGTCACGTGAGGGAGAGGACCCGTTCTCAGTCCTCCCGGGCCCAGGATATCCCCAACACGCCTCCCACGGCTCCCACTATGTCCTCCTGGCTGGCCAGCGCCCAGTGCAGCCACCGCCCGTGCTCCCAAAGACCCGCGCGTCTGCGAGGCCCGGAAGCCGCCGCCCGCGTCCCCACCTGGCGCCCCACTCACCCACGCATTCGTTGGCTTCGCGGGCCGTGGCCCGTTGCCAGGGCCGGTCGTAGTGGAAGGGTTTGCAGCGGTCGCACTCGGGGCCGGCCGTGTGGTGCCGGCAGTCGCAAACCAGGCTGTCGTCGCGGTCTCGCACACAGCGGGCAGCGTGGCCGTTGCACTTGCAGCGGCCGCCCACCTGCAGGTCGGAGACCGCGTAGAAGTAGGAGTCGCGCGCCAACTCCGAGTCGTCCTCGTTCTCGTCACCGAACGTGTGAAGGCGGCTGAAAGCTACGCGAATGTCAGTGGCCGTGACCCAGTCCTGCAGCACGGGCGAGTTGTCGAAGTCGTGAGCCGAGGGCCGCCCGTCCAGCGTGCTGAAGGCGATGAGGCCGCCGGATAGCGGGCGCATGTCTGTGTGCGAGTCAGTGCAAACGGCCTCTTGCTCGTTCTGCTTAGTGATGGGCGCGCGGTGCGGCCGGTTGTACATCTTACGGCACTGCGTGGAGTAGAACTGGAAGGGCACCCACGTGCGCCCGTAGTCCATGGACTTGTAGATGGCCATGGACTCGGGCCGCGGCGAGCAGAACTGCAGGCTCACGTAGGTCACCTCGAACTTCTTGCCAAGCGACAACGTGAGCGTGACATTGTGCGGGAACTGTAGGTAGTTCTCCGACTGCCAGCACGTCAGGTTGTGCGGGTTATTGAGGTCGGTGAGGAACGCTGGCGGGTGCGCCTTCTTGGGGTCCGACGCGTTGCAGAGGTGGCACGAGCGCAGCCGCTCCTCGCCGCGCTCGCTCACCACACAGTAGCGCGCCGGGGGCCGGCCGCAGGTGCTGGACACGCGCACGTCCTTGCCGAAAGCAGCGTTGACGAAGTCCGGGATGCAGCGGCGCGGGTGGCCGTTCTCGTCCGAGCAAGGGTCGGGCTGCGCCGCCTGGCCGGCGAACATGCTGAGCCCGGGCCCGCCGCGCACCGCGCCCACCAGGCACGCCACCGCTGCCAGCGCCGCCAGCGCCTCCCACACTGCGCGCATCATGCTGCGTCCAGCTTGCCCCAGCCCCGCCGCGCCGAGGAATCGGTCCGCCCGCCGCTGAAGGCGCCTGTGGAGAGAGGGGAGCTGCGCTCAGACAGCCCGCCCCGCGCCCTGCACCACCGCGGGGCGGCGAGCGGGGGCACGGCCGATCGCCCGACTTCCCCAACACTGAGCCCGTGGCAGACTGCCCGCCTCGCTCCCCAGAGTCCCACGGGCAGGAGAATCTTGGGGTTCCCAATCTCGCACCGCCCGCACCCCTTCCTCCCAGCGGAGTGGTGGGCCGGGGCCGCGGGCGAACGCTTGGCTTCCCCTCTACAGTCGCCTCCACGCCATCCGAGGGGCACCCCAGGGCCGGTCCTCCTGTATCCACCCAGCTCTCCTCGCACCCCAAGTCCCGGACACAGGAGAACTCGGGTACCTCCCAAACCACACGGTCCGTGTCTTTTCCTCCCGTAACCGAAGGCTCCCTCTCAGCTCCCTCCGATCGTGTCCCCGCCCGGGGCAGGGGGGGGTGGGAGAACTAGATCGGGACTTTACCTCTGGAGAGGGCAAAAGAGAAAGAAAAGTTTGCCTGGCCCCAGTCAGGAGTCAGCGCGCCGGACGGCGGAGAGCCTCTCGCTCGTTCTTCCAGGCTCGTCCTGCCTCAGCGCGGGCTTGCCAGCTCCATGCCCGGCGCGGCCGCCGCTCCCCAGCACCGGCCGCCGCCGCAGTTCTCGTCCTAGTGACGCCGCGGACGACCGGCTCCGCCGCTGCCGCCGAGGTCGGAGTCCTGCCCTGCCCGCGCCCGGGGCGCACACACACTCCCCGCTCGCTGGCGCGTACTCTCACACACACACACACACACACACACACACGCACGCACGCCCCCGAAGGCTCCGCCGCCGCCGCCGCCACTCGCGCAGAGAGTGGGGGGCGGAGGGGAGCGCGGGGGCGGGGGGCGGGGGGCGGGGCACCGGGCGGGGCGCCGGCCAATAACGTCGGCGAGCAGCCGCCAGCTCGATAGCAAAGTTTTAACCCCGGGAAAGAAGAAAGTTGAAGGGAACCGGCTCGGGACAGCGAAGACTGGGAGAGGGACACGGAGGCACGGCGAGAGACGCGAGTTGGTGGGAACCCGGGAGCCCGAGAAAGAGAAGCAGAGACAAAGAGAAAGCGAGAAGAGCGCCGGGGGAAGCCCGGGAGAGGGGGCTGGGCCCGGCGCGCTCCCCGGCGTGGGGCGGAGGGTGGTCGGCCGGGACTGTCAGCCTCTCCCGGGCCCCGCGGCCGAAGATCCCCGCAGGTTTCCGCCGGCCCCCACCCGGAGAGCGCGCAGGTTGGGGGAGGGGACGGGTTTCTTTCTCCCAGTCCCAACCAAACACATCTGTGTTTGTTTTCTTTGCTGCGCTGAGGTCGGGCTTTCTTCTAACCCAGCCTGGTGGCCCCTGTGGTACCGCGTACAGGGCCCTACCCCTGCAGGCAGAGAGCCCGTGATCGGTGAGGAGGAGGATGTGGTCTCCTCCTGCTCTCCACTACTGCCCAAGCCCCCAGGGTCTGTAGAGAAGCTACTTCCCGACTTCACCTCACTCCCACCCTACCCCCACCTCTACCCCTACCCCTCTTGTTACTGTGTCACTGTGAGGGTGGTCTATCTGTCCAGAACGTGGCTTCTTGCCATAGGAGCTGTGGTGGGCAGGGGACTCAAGGAGTGAGAAACTAAGGGGCACCTGGGCACTAGTCAGCGTCCTCCCATACCGTTCTACCGGATCTCAGTCTGGGGTCAGTCCTGCCCTACGCAGATCTCCTGATACAGTCTTACAGTATTCCTTGCTCTCCCCTATGCTATACTGGCTCATGGGTTTGGGTTCCCCACAAGAGGATTGCAAAGTAGGCATTAACTCCAGTTTTTGAGACTGTAAATCTTTACAGCAGCAGGCAGCTTCATCTTTTTTCCAATGGATCCACTGGTAGGTTTGAACTGCTGACCTTGTGGTTAGCAGCCCAACGCTCATCTCATTACACCACCAGGACTCCTTGATGTCCCAGCTAATAAACATCAACTCCAGGAATAGAAACGTGGGTTTTCCCCACAAGGCTACATTTGTCAAATGGAGACTCCCACCCAATTTATAGTCTCTTGGGGCATCAGCTTCTCTTTCTCACCTCATTCTTTGCCAGCTTAACAAAAGGACTGAGGACAGTGACGGGAGAGGGGGTGCTGGGGGAGCAGAGGATCCAGAAAGAACTTTGGCAAAGACCACACTGGGCTGAGAGTTTGGAACTGACATTTCTGTTACCTTGTTAGTTTTAGATATGTGAGCTAGTAAGAGACCTTAATTGAAAGCCCCAGGTCCTAGTTCTGGCCCGTCAGGTAACTTGGTCCACTAAGTGCCTCGTTTTCTTATTGGTATTCTCTTAACTCAAAGAATTTAAACTTTGGAAGGGGCCTCAGGGCTTGTCTGGCCCAGTTCATGCTCCTTGTAGGAACGCCTTCCCCAACCCCCCTGAAAGACACCATGCAAGTCAGCACTTCCAAGGATGGGAGCTCAGCACAGCACAGAAAAATAAATCGATTCCATTGCAGGACAGGCTGAATCCATACCCTTCCATGGAGGAGTACTGCAGCTTTGCCCTTCTTAATGCTATGTGGCAACCTCCATGCTGTTTGTGTGCTTTGCCTGTGGCAGAGGGGATTTCAGATGACTTACAATATGAAATATGGCAAAGTGACCTCAGGTAGCAGTGAAGTGAAAGGAGATAAAGGACATGTTTAACTATGGACAATTGTATTCTGAAAGTCAGCGTAGCACCCCCAACTCCCAGAGCCAGGAGAACTCTACAAGAAGACTCACTTTGGAGCCACATTCTGACTCCGCGGCATGACCTTGTCAAGTCTATTAATCTTTCTGTGCCTCAGTTTCCTCATATGCGAAAGGGAGATAATAATATCCACATCATAGGATTGTGGGAGCTCAGTGGATCTGTAGGATAAGCACTGGACTGCTAACCACAAGGCCAGTGTTTCAAGTCTACCAGTCATTCAGTGGAAGAAAGGTAACGCTTTCTGCTCCTGCAAAGACTTACAGCCTCAGAAACCCTATACAGGATCCATATGAGTTGAAACCGATTCAATGGCACTTAACAACAATAACAATGTAGGATTGGGAGCTTCAAATGAGCCAACACATAAGAATATCATAGTTGTAAAATATATGGTTATGTGTATACATAGCATATCATATACATGTATACATTTTCACACAGAAGTCCCTGGGTGCTGCAAATGGTTAATGCTCTCTGCTGCTATCCAAAATGGTTGGTGGTTCAGGCCCACCCAATGGTGCGGCTGAGGAAAGGTCTGGCAATCTACTTCCAAAATATATCTGCCTCAGTCACTGAAAACACCATGGAGCACAGTAATCCTCTGACACATATGAGTTGGAGTCAACTGAGCTGCAACTGGTTTTATCATCACCTACCTAAGGAGCTCTGGTAGCGTAGTGGTTACGAATCGGGCTGCGAGCCTTAAGGTCAGCGGTTCGAAACTACCAGCCGCTCCGCGGGAGAAAGATAAGGCTTTCTACTCCCGTAAAGATTTACACCCTCGGAAACCCTGTACAGGGTCGCTATGGGTCGGACCCGACTCGATGGCACTTAACAACAACAACAACAACAACATGCTTACCTAAATATGCATCAAGCCAGGCACATAGTAAGTGGGTGTATAAATGTAAGTTACTGAATTACTCAATTTATTTAAATTTTTTAAATTCTGTTAAAGAGGAATATTTAATTACATGGAAATATATTTAGGACCTAAAAAAGAGTAAATTGTTTAACACTATGTAAAAAAAAAAAATACTACATGCAGTATAATCACATTTTTATTAAAACAAAGTATAAAAGGAAATCTCTGGACAGTGAGGTTACAGGTGATTTTTATTTATTTTTGTCCATATATTCTAGATTTTGTACCACCAACTAAGAGTGTAAGCTATGAGGAGAAAGAAAAATGAAGAAGAAGACAAAGTAGAGACAAGAATGAGGCTAGAATGCTCCCTGGGATGCCCTATTCACCTCCTGTGGGTGGGCCACACATTTGTCCCTAAGTTTTCTGCAGCCAAAATGAAGAGACCTCGTTCGTTACACAATCCCCAGTGTCCATGAGATAAAAACAGACCTGTTGCTCAAGAGAATTACAAGTATTCTTAGTACTAAAATCAGACAGGAATTTCTCCTGGGGAGCCTCATAAAGGGAACACAGTGTGAATGAGGTAATGAGCAAACAGCCTCCACATCACCATACTAGACAACACTGACTGGTTTCTGTGATCCGCCTCAATATAAGCTGATAGCATCACACCAAAACCCGAGTCAGGAAAAGACATTCTGGTACAGAGGGATCTGAAAGAGGCAAATCAAGGTGTCCAGGTCACTACCCAGCAACTTGGGTATATATTTTGGAGCATCTGGAAGACTGCATTGGAGTCCTGGTGTGGCGCTGTGGGTTAATGCACTGGACTGCAAAGTCAGTGACAACTGCAAGGTCAGCAGTTCAAGCTCACCAGTCACTCCTTAGAAACCCTATACAAGGTCGCTATGGGTTGGAACCAATTCCATGACACTTACCAACAACAGAAGACTAGACTGGATTGGTGCGTGCTTGCCAAACCTACCTCCTGCTATACGTACTGTTTCGGACAGCAGAGCTTTTTGATGGATCTTTACTGACAACAGATTTGAAATTGCCCTGCCTGGAGCATGGTTGTTTGACTTCCTGGAGTGCGGTTCAGTTGGAGCCAGCTGAGCTGAGGACAGTGGTGTTCAGTTGGGAAGTGGGGGTGGAGTAGGATGGAGTACATTCCATGTTTATTGTGGTGTCTCCCATAGTAGTTTCCAGTGGCCTGGGCAGTTTCACTCACCTTGGAGGTACAGAACCTTCTGAAAACATAGTAGGACTTCTCTACTTCTATTCAAGACCCATCACCCCATCAGTTCTACTGTTGGCCCAATTCCAGCCCTACGTAGCAGCCAGGCCCCAGACCCACATTTGTTAAAACTAGCCCTCTACCATCCTTCTAAGATGCC